TGACGCTTATTTCCTGCCCATACGAGTTCGGTAACAATCAGAGTGTTACACAACAGAGTTGAATAGTGTTTTTAATTAGACCACAGGATGATACCTTGTTGAGACAAGTCTGCCCAGAAGCACTCATTCTGTACCACGTAGAAAGGCCTAAGGATAAAATTCGTTTATCTGTTAATTTCAGAAGGCTAAGTTTGCTATATCACGGTTGACAATAATAATGTAAATGATCTGGTCATTCTGGTGTGTAGCATAAGTGCGTTTCTTGCTAATATTATGGCGTATGAGTAAAAACTTAAGAACTTTTCGTATAGTTCGCATATTTACTGTTGAATGATAGAGTATCATCCATTTAAATTATTTATTAAAACTTGTTATTCTAACTATTTATATGGTCTACTGAGAGTGAGTGGAATTTTAAAGGACACACTGTGAATAAGGAGCATAGAACCTCACTCATTGCTGGAGAATATATATATATATATATATCACTGTCGGACCCCAGTGGCTTAGCGGCAAGTCTGAGGGCTTATATATCTAAAAGTCTGGTTTCGATACCTTTGGTGAATAGAGATCATTGTATAGGTTTATGCTTAATAACAATGAAATGCGTATCGTTGTTACTCTTTATTTTTTCCTGTGTGAGAGGGATGAGTTGTTATAACACATATCATAACATAAAAATGTTTTTAATAAATATCAAATCACTTTATATGGCTGGAGAGGAGTGTTGTAACGTTTTTCTTTCGTTGACGGGTTCTTTTGAATTTTCTGGTGACAATAATTCAACGTCCAGTCCATGTAATAATAATAAATTAGTTTATTTATTTCTTTAATATTTCTACAAGCTTAAACACTGTGGTAACTAGTTAGACCATGTTTACAGCCATGCTACCTGTATCACATTAGATCAAAAATAAACTTACTTATACAACTTCACGATCACGTAACTGAAACCAAAACAACACTGACTGATTCAATCTATTGAATAGAAATAACTCTACTCAATGCTTCACTCTCTCTCGTATTTATAATCTCCTCCTCGAATTTACTATACATTCTGACTTCAAAATGTTTTGAACTTTCTAGACCTACACTAATAAACTTTTCGATATTGATGTTAAGCACCCTCTAGTTAGCATCTAAGTTACAAAATTGAAAAATGTTTATAGCTTATAAAAGTACGATCGCTAAATTCAGCAAAATGCACTAGTTAGTTACGCAGCTGGAGTTAATCGTAATAGGATACTTACCTCCCAATTGTTGAATTTCTATGATTATCTGTTTAGTTAGCTTGAACATGTACCTGTACTATTGTAAGTAAAGTGTGACGACACTATTGAGAACATATTGTTGAATTGTTAGATTATTCTAGATTTACTCTAAAAGTTCCTAATTATTTTGTTTTGCACATTCCTCTTGATTTGTCTGTTGCAGATTAGATTCAAAATTAGAAGCATGTAAAAATTATACTTCACATCTTAAAAGTTAGAAATTGTATCGAAAAAAAAATGTTTATATGTGTCGACAAGTGCAAAGCTACACAATGGGCTATTTGTGCTCTGCTTATCGCGGGTTTCAAAGCCCGATGTTTAGCGTTATTAGCCCTCTGACTTACCGTTAAGCTACCTGGGAGTCGTCAATAAAGAAAGTGGTGCGTGTAGACTATTGTGGAGGCCGAGAATAATGGAAGTTAACGGTTTGTTATACAGTTTAACTATATGATAGTTGTAGTTAATGAGATGCACACTTCGCCTGTGTAGCTTAGTGTATTCAAATAATATCGACCTATATGTTCAATAAAATCAGATACACAAACCTACACACCATTTTCCATTCTCAGATAACTGAATTTGGTATTAACATAATGCAATATGTCTCAATAATTGATAGAATGCAATAGACTTATTAGGTTTTTTGTATTAAAGAAGTTTATGAAATTGATTTCCAACTGATATATTGATTTATGGCCTTCAAATGAAATTTGAGAAGCAATTGAACAAACTGCTAAGGAAGTAAAACAAATTAGTTTATGTTCTTATAGAAAATCTATCCTTCATTGCAAGGAATGTTTCCATATGCAGGTGAAAGTTATTCCATAATCACTTACAAGCTACTTCTTTCTGATATTGATATTTCATATGCAGTCTATTAACAAGGAGTTTCAAATATATACCTTCCATATAAACCTGGTTTGGTCTTGTATCACCTTGATAATTGTATTCTTCCACAGTTATTCAAAGATGTATAATTCCAGTTCTATGCTATTCTAATGTTTACTAATTTTTTTGGGTCTTGACCATTTTTTCATGTCTCTATTTTAGAACTTCACTGTAACAAGTACCTTGCACTTGATATATATTGATATATTTTTAATTTGCTAAGAATATTACCAAAACACCCCTAATAAAATATGTTGCCTCACGTTTTGACCATGACAATGCTTTTCAAAAAATACAATGAAGTTCTTTTTTACACAGAAATATAAGCTGAAAGAAAGCGTATGTTGGAGTCTTAAGATTTGAAAAAACAGACCTTGCTACAAGAGCTTTGAAAGAAGTAAATACATGATGTTGTTCAGTCATATAAGGCAGATCTGCAATAATGACAGATTCATAATACTTACAATCATTTTTTTAGGAACATTTTACTAACGTATATTGTGAAGTAATATGCAGCATTTGCAGTCAATACATTATTATATGTTAGCTCCAGGAAAACAAATGAGTCTGAAATACAGATCTAAGAATCCGAACTAACCGCTTACAGTATCATTACTTTTGCTTTCTGCTACCGTTTCACCACAAGTTCACCTTTGTCCTTCATCGATACTACATGTCTCTTTGGTGTTAGCCTCTTTGTCAAGTTTTATGTATGTGTATGGGCAGGAGTCCTTACAGTATGTGTCTGTGACTTGTTGACGATAAATTTCAAGAATAAACGGACAGCATACGATACACTTGTTTTAAAATAATGTATTCAAAACAAGTCAAACATATATACAAATGTTCGTTACACAGTTAATCACCACAGTTGTATCGAGAGCTTTAAATAATCGTCTCTTTTCGTCAATAGCTCACACAGGCTGGTTCAGTTACTTTAGAACCCAATTAAGAAGACGAATTCTTCTTCTCTACTCTGTTATTACAATACAATCTGCGATTATTACAATTTAAGAGTCGCAACTATAAACACTTTATGACTAAACTTACAAACACAATCTAGACCTAATTGACTATATCGCTCACTAATTTGTCTTAATTTCACTTTCACTGACTTACTTATTTATACTAACTTGGTCACCTATATACTGTATGTATATATAAAACAATATAAATGGAAAAAACTTATACCACGAAAAAAGGCTCATGCAAATTAGATGTTTTAATATTCACAACGTACCGGGCTGGGACGCCTTTCCTCTGATTCTAAACTGTAATGGATAGAATGTTTAATATCACAAGGATTATCAAACATAAAACGTTCGAAATTAACATCATTAAACGGATCTAATGTAGCATACACGGGAAACACTGGCAAAACAATGTTTTTACAATAGGATAATATATA